GGTCGTCAGGCGCCGCACCAACAGCTCGTGACATACGGTCGTCAGGCGCCGCACCAACAGCTCGTGACATACGGTCGTCAGGCGCCGCACCAACAGCTCGTGACATACGGTCGTCAGGCGCCCCAGGGTGCAGCTCGATTTCCCGTTTTGCTGCTGCTGACGGCCGATTCCCCCAGGCGCGCAGCCGGCAACAACAACGCCCACGGCCAGCGGCGCGACGGACAGCTACCGCCCCCGGTGTGTGGCGGCGGAGACGCCGAACGCACCGGCTGAACGAAGTTGGCGCTGTTTGGTTTGGGCCGTGTTGTGTAGTTTGCGGCTGCTCCGTCCCACTGCCGAAGTTGACACAGTAAGTCTGGACGCGGGATTTGTTATTTTTGCGGAGCGTTAAGACCTGTGTTTTTTTCTGCATTACCAACAGTGATTCTTAAGAGGCAGCTTACAAGCAAATTCAAAATTTAAGTGCTGTTGTTGTGGGTAGATTAGAACCCTAAAATATCGTTCAATTATACAGAATTGCATGGAACACAGGCCAAAATGTGGTTCACAGGCAGACTTGGGGAAAAAGTCGTGATGGTAGTGGTTTGCTGATTCCTAAAGAAGTGAGTGAAAAGTATGGTATATATCTGGTATGAACAGTTCCCAAGCCATCTGCACGTAGTTATGAAGGTTGTCATGTCTCTTATTCTGAGATGGTATGAACAGTTCCCAAGCCATCTGCATGTAGTTATGAAGGTTGTCATGTCTCTCTATTCTGAGATGGTATGAACAGTTCCCAAGCCATCTGCATGTAGTTATGAAGGTTGTCATGTCTCTCTATTCTGAGATGGTATGAACAGTTCCCTAGCCATCTGCATGTAGTTATGAAGGTTGTCATGTCTCTCTATTCTGAGATGCCTAGCTGCGGTTTTCTGTTGTCATTTTTCGTAGCTGAATTAAATGCATATCGATGATACCACCGATGCTGCTTGTTCTGGAAAGATTCTATAGTGACTGATTTGTTTAGTACCTCTAGAATTGTATTTGCAAACTCTGCCGCATTTGGCAAGATTTGCGGGCGTATGGACCCATAATTTTTGCACCCTCACACTCAGTGGCTTGTTTTCATTTTCATCCCTTTTCACCTCCATTTACAATTATGTTGACTATCATTCATATTGTTTGACATAAGAAAAGTCGCATATCTTACTAAGATTTTCATAAAAATAGCCCGAATTAAATTTCCTCAAAAATTGAGCATGCTTTGAATTATTGCTGCCGTCTTCATTTGATTACATGACACCAATACTTTGTCGATTTTGGATTTCGCGTGCTGCAAGTATATTTGACGGTGTTTAATCGAAATCTGCTTCATGCCAAAAGACTTTGGCTTCAACGTTAGCTGAAGATCGTGATGTTCTTATGCATATGTCTCTAGTGCACTTTATGTCTGTTCCTACACACATTCATTGGCAAC